TAAACATATTTAATTTCCTTCCTGTGAGCTAATAGAAGCAGGATAACGTGTTTTAAACCTTCACTTGTTAATAAATAGTCTTTGATCTGTTTCTGTCTCATTTATTGTGCAAACGTCACGGATGAACCGCTGCCTGTCTTCTTGGAGCTGATTGGTTCCTATAGGTGTCAGTCTAGGTTCAGCAGACGCACCGTTCGCTGATTGGCTGACATCTGAGCATATGTCAGACTGACTAAATGCTGATTGGTTGAAAGGTCCGTCGGTGTGATTTCTCTGCGTCTGATTGGTTGTTTTGCATTGGAGGAAAGGCAGTAAAGACTCTCACTGCGGTCCCAGTAAACAGCTCAGCGGCTGGGATTTACAGCTTCTTTCTGGTTTTTTAGTACAATAAATCCAATTTGTAGGATGTAAAATAAATAGCAGGATTGGAGAAGACATTTAGAATAATAGTTGCGGCTCTTACTTTGAAAGTTTTACCGGATTTGTGTTTTAATGATGAAGTTGGTATGAAACGCAGCAGAGCTCAGATCTCCGGACAGGATGAGGAGGAATAACAGGAACACACCGAGACCCTGAGCAACATTATAGGAAAACTCCATTTATTCTTAGCTTTCTTCTCCTTCTTTTATTTCTTTTTCTAGATTCTTCTTTGGTTAAATCCAGGATTTGTTACCAAACAGCCTCTGTTGCGCATCCTTCCGTAAAAAATGCGTTTTTTGGATGTAAAATAGTTTTTTTCTGTGGTTTCTGGGAAGAGTGAAATAAAATCTGTGCAGATCTTCCTCCATCTGAGACAGACGGTAAGCAACCTGTTCCTCTCTACGGGATTAACCGTTAGCTCCTCAGCTTAGCCTGCCAGCTACTGCTGCCATGGTAACAAGCTAGCAGCACTAACTGGGTCATTATGCTGCTGCATAATCACAGAGGAGCCTGAATAAAATCACTTTGCTGATGGGATTAATAGAGCTCCACTAATAAACTCAGATTTGGGGCTCCTGCCCTCAGGGGCCTCACTGCCAGCTGACCTCCAATCAATGAGCACTATCTGGTCTGATGCAAAGGCCCCATCAACATGTGGTCTGTGCTGTGTGAGCTCAGGGCTCAGCTCATCATTACAGAACTGGCAGGTTTTAAACTGGGAAAGCTGGATTATGGGACCATAAGGCACCAATGGACAGGAAATCAGAATTCCATTCATGCTCAGGTTAGTTTTTCCTCATCTGCAATAATCCCTGAGTGCAGACCCGCCTGCAAGAAGAGGTTAAAGGGGGGGTTCCATGTTTTCCCTTAAGGCTCAGATTATTCCTACAGTGCTGAGAGAATAACATGGATCAGTCAGATACCAAAATCCCCCAAAAAGCAGGTGGAGCAGACAGTGTAATGCTGTGTCCATCCAATTAGCATGGTGTCCAGCTAAAGTCATTCAATGTCCTGTTTGTCTGACTTCCACCAGGACAACCTTTCAGGATTATTGCTTCAGAAACAAATAGATTTGAGGACAGTTTTGCTCCCAAAGCTGCAAAGCCATCATCCTGCTGGCAGATACTAAACGTCCTTCCTAAAAAACCATGTTGTTATTGCAGCTATCACTCTGGCTCAGTTACACAGTGAGCCTGTCTCTGCTGTAGCTCACTCTGCAGGCATGAAGCTTTGCTCCAATGGTGAATTCTTCCTACAGGAATGAATGGTGCTGCTTCCAGCTCACTCTGCTTTGCTCCATCTGCACTTTTGAAAACAGTCTCCATATTCCTGTTGCACTACCTACCGTAACTATAGCCTCAGCCATAGACATTATATACTTCATTGGTCACTGGCCTAGAGGGCGGCCATCTTGGATCAGACCACAGTTCCTGCAGCTGCTGTAGGAAAGAATAGGAGGCGCCTTAGATCTCATTTTAATCACATGAAAGACAAGTAAGAGATATTATTATACACGGCAAAAATGATATAGAAATAAAAGAAAAAAATGAAAATAGGTGTATTTACCCTTAATCTGATCAGGTAGATAAAATGATTTTCCAATGGAATGAGACTTTTCACCCCTAAAATAAGATAATTAGATAACATGCACTTGAAATTAGAAAATGCAGTTGTTTTTTTCTTATTTTAAATGTAAATTGTCCTGTTCCCTGCGATGGACTGGCGACCTGTCCAGGGTGTATCCCGCCTCTTGCCCATTGACTGCTGAAGATAGGCACCAGCACCCCTCGTGACCCCACTTGGGACAAGCGTGTAAGAAAATGGATGGATGGATTGTCCTGTTCCATTGGCTAGATGTCTGACTTCCCTCCTCAATTCAAGAAAAAAAAGACTTATTTAAATCAGGGTCAGTCTACACCAGGGGTCTGTAACCTGTAGCTCTTTGGGCGTTCCCAATAGTTGCTCAAATTGATATAAATAAATAACTAATGTGTTATAATGACAAATACCTCTTTGAAGCTTTAGTTCAAAAAAGTTTTCAAAGAATATTTCAATTTAATTTTCACAACATATCGCTGGTAAAAGAACCAGAAATAGTTTTTTAGAACTACTTTTAATTTTAATAATTTTTGAAATTATGTGTTTTATTATCTTTTGTTTACATCAACTTAAACCCTATAGAATTTTCATTTTTATGAATCTTTTTGGCTGCTTCCTTATTTTGAAAGCTGAACTGTTTTAAAATGGAAACAGATTTCCTATGACCTAAAATAATTGGCTGTGTTTTATTAAAAGTCATGTGATACATTGTGGCCCTAAATGTCCTGTTCTTAGCTAAACCCCAGTCTATTCTGACCACTGTACCAAATCATTCATATTTACCAAATAAATCAATGAAGACAGGCTAGATTTCCATTAAGTTCTCTCTCACAAATCTACTAACATACATCTAAACGGTTGAGCAGTGTTATTTTTATCTTTAATTTTATAGAAGATGACTGCAGAGACAGAAAATCTTCCCTTCTTCCCCATAAAGCAAAGTACTGCTTCAGAAAACAGCATGAATTCTGTTTAGGTCCTAAATGTAGTATTTTTAAGTAAGTATTTTGAATCATTACTGTACTTTTGTTGTCAGATTATTGTTAATATAGTCAGGGGGG